CTATCATCTGGGTGCTGAGAATCAACCTGGGTCCTCTGGAAGAGCAGCCAGTGCTTTCAACCACCAAGCCATCTCTCCAAAGGCTCACATTATGTAAAAAGTGACCCAAGCACACAGCTGAGCAATGTTGGAGTCAAGAGAATGCAACATAAAGGTTTATTCGTAGACGAAAGAAGTTCACAGGCACCATCAGAAGACTGTACAGCTCCGAAAATCCTAGAAGCCAGGGGCGCGGAGCTTTGTCCTGGAAGCATGAGGTCCAGTTGAGATCCTCAGTAGCCATGTCAAATGCCAGGTGTGGAAGTGTGTGTCTGTAAACCCTGCATGACGGACACAGAGACGGGGAATCCCTGGGGCTCACTGGCCAGCTAACCCCGCTGAACTCCTGAACTCCAGGTTTAGTGAGATTGTGAGATCTCAAAAATAAAGTGGAGAGCAACTAGGTAGACACCTAATGTAGGTCTACACACTCACACACATACACACATATGCATGTTTGCACATGTGCACGCATATACACTCAGCATGGGAGATACTCTTATAGTGGGTATCCCTGACAAGGGCTTACTTAGGACTGAGCTTAGGAAAGACTCTTACTTTTTCCCCTGTTATACAACTGTTAAGCAGCTTGATGGATTGTTTTGTTTGAAACAGGCTCTTATTATGTAGCCCTGGAACTTACTATGCAGCTCAGGCTGGTCTTCCAACTCACAAGCCAGCCCCTGACTCCCAAGTGACAGAATTAAGGGAGTGTGTGTGTGTGTGTGTGTGTGTGTGTGTGAGAGAGAGAGAGAGAGAGAGAGAGAGAGGGCTTTTGCCACAGAAACAGAATTAGAGGAATGTATGGAAATCCACAATCAAGGCTAACTTTGGCTATACAGTGAATTGTAGGTTATCCTGGGCTGACTGTGACACACACACACACACACACACACACACACACACACACACACACGTGGGGAGGAAGCTCAAGTGGACTATACCACCAGACACAAGAAGTGGTAAGGTTGAGCCAGTCTAAACCCCAGGAAATCTCAGAATTGGGAGGCAAACTACATAATCTGAGACAGGTAATCATGACACCTCACTGAGAAGACCGTGACAACCGGTCACGAAGCATAACAACTTGCAGTTCTCCATGCTAATTAGGTAACTAGATAGGCCTCCAGTGTTCAGCCAATGAGCTTCCCTTCCTGGGCATTCCTTCCCACAAAAGGTGTGTAATCTCTGGTTCACCCAGAGTAAGATGTATGTGTTCACATCCACCACGAAATAAAGCAGTTTGGGACCCTCTCCTTCCTCAAGGACGGATGAGGTGGGAAGACTTTATCCAAAAGAGCCATGCCCAAATCTCAGGGCGAAGGCCTTCTCTCTTCTAGCCCTTCCATAGTCTTGGAGTCAACCTGGATTTCACCCCCTTCCTGCCTTGAATTCACAGAGACCCATCTGCCTCTGCCTCCCCAGAGCTGGGATTAAAGGTGCACACCACCACTGCTGGGCATGCTGTCTTAAAACAAAACAAAATCGAGACCCCCCACCCCCCAGGAAGAAAGTTATTAAATAATTTTTAAAAAGTTTTCAAGCAAAAGACTCTCATACAAATGTAGCAGGCAGTACTTATAGATGAATCCACTCTGTTTAAGGAAGTCGGATGGCCGTAGCTCCTTTCCATGTGCCAATGGCCCGTCTGCAATCCCTACACACAGATCATAGAAAATGGAGGCTCAGCCAGGAAGAAGTGAAGCTGGGCTCCTCCCAAAGCTGCTGAAGACAGACTCTGTTCCTCTCTGTGGGGACCACCCCGCCTTCCTCCCTGGAGTGTGCAGTTGGAGGCACCAGATGCTCTGGCAAGATCCAGAGAGATGCCATCTGTGAGGGAAACCTATTCTTAGAGAGCAGAGCCAGTCAGTGGTGGAGCCGGCCACCCCGGCAGTGGAGGAGGGATGTCAGGGCAGGAGTCCAAGGCTGGCTGGGGAGAAGGGCTGGCTAAACACAGGGCGCACTTATCTCTTACAACCAGCTTCCTCCTGTATGTGATCTATTGGAAATAAGGGCAATGTTGATTGAATGTGCACTTTACATGTCGCTTAATCGTTCCAGACACCACAAGGGGCATGTCATCACAACACCTCTTTTACAGATGAGGCACAGATGGCTAAGTCACTTAATCGGTCAGGCCTTGAACCTGGGCATGCTGGTTCCAAAGTCCTTGTCCCTTGCAACCATGTATACTGCCTGTTAGTCTACTGACCAGTGGCCAATTTCAGTTTGGGTTTTTCTCCAATAGTAAAGCCCAAGATAAGGGTTTGTGTGTAAGTGATTTGATGGGATCTGGGGCATGAAGGGGATTGTTTCCACCGTGGGGACCTGGAGTCCAACCCTGCTCGGAGCTCTAGCAAGCAGCAAGCAGAGTGTATGGAGGGTTATTGCCTCTGAAGGCTGGGAGCTGCTCCTGATGGTATTTCTTTGCGCTGGGTTAACACTGCTCAAGTGCACAGTAATCTCAAACTTCACGCCTGCTGCAGAGTGGTAAATCAGGCACCAGGGGTGGGAGCCCTCAGGCTGGGGGACACAGGGGTGGCAAATGGAGAAGCCAGGTGTGAAGAGAAGAGAGAATGGCAGGGCTCCCCATCACCTGCTAGAATAGACCTGCCTGGTAATGGCTGGCTCCCGACTGTCTCAAGAGTTTGTCTTCCAGTTCGAGCATTGTAAGAAGCTCTTCCAAACTGTCTGCTCTGAACTTGCAATGAACTGCTGTAGCCTACAGCACAGGGGATACAGACATAACCTCCACTACCCCGGAGCTCTGTGATGGGTCAGCTACCTGGGACAACAATTCTTGGCCCTTCCGTTCACCACTCCCTTAGCAAGCACCCACAGCACGGGGAACCTGTAAGACAGTCAGACTCTAGACAGCTCCAGACCCCCTGGGTCGGAATTTGTATTATATTCATTTGTTAGTTAGTTAGTTAGTTTGTTTGTTTGCTTGAGATAGGGTCTCAGTGGTCCAGGCTGGTTTCCAACTTGCTTTGTAGCAGAATACGACCATGAACTCCCACCTTCTTGCCTCCACCTCCCAGGCGCTGTGAATATAGGCGTATGTGTCCACGCCTGGCCAGAATCTGCACACTGATGAACACTCCAGTGACTCACATAGACTTTGACTGGTCATTTCAATCACATAAAAAGACAGGAGGAAGCCGGGCGGTGGTGGCGCACGCCTTTAATCCCAGCACTTGGGAGGCAGAGGCAGGCGAATTTCTGAGTTCGAGGCCAGCCTGGTCTACAGAGTGAGTTCCAGGACAGCCAGGACTATGCAGAGTAACCCTGTCTCGAAAAACCTTAAAAAAAAAAAAA